TTCCGGACGGACGCACGGACACACGGACGGACAGAGACTAATTATAAGTCCCCGTTTTCGGACTTTGTCCGAACGGGAACTAATAAACAATGCCGCGATCTCTGTAGTGGCGCTATACACATGATACACGCAGAAATTAGTAAATTGAGAATCATGACTAAAATACGGGAATTTGTTCACAGGAAATTACAAGTTTTTATTTTTCAATTTCAACTTTAAATTTTCGGCCTAGTATTTACGTGTCCCGATTTTACGCGATTTAAATTGTCTTTATTACTTGAATGGTTGATCAAAATAAAAGAACATAAAGTCATAAGATAAATGAGAAATATATATATCGGTTAAATTTATAATGTGGTCGCTGCAGATTATTCGCAATAATGGGTCACATTATTAAGCCACAAGAGGGCGCCATGCATATAAGAACAATGCTAACCTCAAGGGCGGACATGTTACAGTTGCGTGCGCCTTGGCAACATAGAACATTCTGTGACGTAGTTCCGCCAAAAACATTTTACTGCCTTGTGATGATACGAATGCTTTGTACAGCACATAACGCACTTTTTAGTCATTTCAAACCCATTTTCTGAATTTTTCGGCAATGTTCACGGACAACCTTCTAAAACATCAAAATTGTGTTCATATTTTGTTTGTAGCCTTTGATGTATGAAACACCACCCTCAAAATTATCTCGAGTTGTGATCTTGGATTATTCAGTTGTCTAGAAAGTAGTAACAGTTGTCTGGAAAGTAGTAACAGTTGTCTGGAAAGTAGTAACAGTAGTCTGGAAAGTAGTAACAGTAGTCTGGAAAGTTGTAACAGTTGTCTGGAAAGTAGTAACAGTTGTCTGGAAAGTAGTAACAGTAGTCTGGAAAGTTGTAACAGTTGTTTGGAAAGTAGTAACAGTAGTCTGGAAAGTTGTAACAGTTGTCTGGAAAGTAGTAACAGTTGTCTGGAAAGTAGTAACAGTAGTCTGGAAAGTTGTAACAGTAGTCTGGAAAGTTGTAACAGTTGTCTGGAAAGCTGTAACAGTTGTCTGGAAAGCTGTAACAGTTGTCTGGAAAGTAGTAACAGTTGTCTGGAAAGTCGTAACAGTTGTCTGGAAAGTCGTAACAGTTGTCTGGAAAGTAGTAACAGTTGTCTGGAAAGTAGTAACAGTTGTCAGGAAAATA